ACCTTGCCATTAGGCAAAGGTACTAAAGACCAAGTTTGATTATGCTCTAAGGCCTGGATTTCTTTATCCATGGCTGCTATCCAATTCTTGTCCTTGGAAGCTTGGGAAAGGCTTGTGGGTTCAACCAGGGATAGTTTGGATAAAAAAAGCCTTATAAGACGGTGATATATGATTATAAGAAACAAAATCAGCAATGGGATATTTGGAAAGATGTGTTGAAGTATTTTGAGGTAATGTAGGACAAATAAAATCATTAGTCCAAATAGGAGGATGAGACTGTCAGTTGGACCTTCTTGGAACAGAAGAAATTGCAGGTTCAACATAATGGGATAGTTTTAAATGTGAAGGATCAGACCCTAAACAAGGAGCTGAAGGAGATACGGGGGAAACAATAGGAGTTGGAGGAGCTGATCCTCGATCAACAGAGGAATAAGTGTCTGAAGAACAGGACGGATCAGGATCTAGAACAAAGAAATCAGATTCAGGAGGAAAAGGAACTTGGGAAGACTTAGGTAAGGCAAAAGGAAAAATGTGTTCATAGAACACTGCGTCTCGGGTGACAAAGATAGTATGAAAGGATAAATTATAGAGAATATATCCCTTTTGTGTAAGAGAGTATCCTACGAAAATAGTAGGGATAGCTCTAGGGGATAATTTGTCCTTAGAAGAAAGGATTGATGCATAGTCCAAAGATCCAAAAACCCTTAAATGATCCAATGTGGGACGTTTTGAAAAAAAATGCTTCAAAAGGAGACAAACCTTTAAGAACAAGTGTTGGCAGTCTATTAATAATGTACACTGCAGTTAGAACACAATAACCCCAAAAATGAGTGTGAATGTGAGAGTGGATTTTCAATGCCCTAGCAACCTCTAGAATGTGTCTATGCTTTCTCTCAACAACGCCATTTTGTTGACGAGAATATGGACAAGTGCTTTGATGTATAATTCCCTTACTACTTAAAAGGTCATGACAATTCTTATTGAAGAATTCTAAACCATTATCACTTCTAATGCATTTAGGAACCAAGTGGTATTGTGTTTGAACCATTTGAAGGAAGTGTTTAAAAGTGATAAAGGTATCGGATTTGAATTGCATGAGAAACAACCAAGTGACCCTAGAATGATCATCAACAATTGTGAGAAAGTATTGAGCATTCCCAAGAGTAGGTGTTTTATATGGCCCCCACACATCCGTATGTAACAAATCAAAATTATGCTTAGAATGTGAAGTGCTATGAGGAAAGGGTGACCTAGTTTGTTTAGCTAGAGGACACACAAGACCATGAAATGAGGGTAATGCAGTGTGTTCAATAGACTTAGACAATCTAGGATGAACAAGTGGCAAGGTTGAATAAGACACATGTCCTAACCTTTGATGCCATAATAAATTTGTGAGATAAAGATGTAGTCATAAGTGAAACAGGAAAAACAGGCCTTTTATTCAATTGCAAATCATGAGGTACAACTTTTGATGAATGTAAAACATTACAAGTAGATTTATTCAACTTTCCTAAAGACATAAGGGACGAAAATGACAATTTTGGATCATAAAAGTAAAGGCCTTGACTATGCTTACCAATCCCCTTCAACTTGCCATTGCAAAGATCCTGAATGAGGAAAAAATCAAGATAGAAAGTAACGAAACAATTGTTAGAAGCAGCAAGTTTTGAAACAAAAGTAAATTGTTATGAAAATCTGGGACATATAAGACATTTGGTAAGTGTAGGTTATCATCTAGAGCAACAAATCCTACATTTCTAACATATATTTTTGTTCCATTCGGTAAACCTACAAGGTATTTGGAAGAACGTTCTATGGCAATGGAATATTTCAACATAGACTGATTAAAAGTCGTGTGATCAGTTGCTCCAATATCAATTATCCAGTTATTTTCATCAAAATATGATAGCAAGGCCACAGAATTACCTGTAAGATTTGCAGTTGAAGGTGATACATTCTCCTTTCCTAGCAACTGAAGAATTTGAGTATACTATTCAGTAGTCAAAATTGGTCCAATTGTTGCATCAGTGTTTCCAATATCGGATTTTCCAACATCTAACGACTCAGAGCTCTGCACTTGATAAGCCGAAGCTTTTGATTTAGAAGTCTGTCCCTTTGTGAATTGATAGTTAGGTGGATATCCATTTAGCTTGTAGCAGGTTTCACGCTTATGTCCAGGGATGTGACAAAACTCACACTCGATATATGGTTTTTTTCCCTTATACTTCTGTCCCTGACTTTGCCCTTTACCATTTCCATTATTATGTGCATAAATTGCAGTAGACACTTCTGAATTCAAACTCATTCCAACCATAATTTTTTGACTCTTATCTTGATTAACAATAGAATAAGCTTGTTTCACTGTCGGTAAGGGGTTCATAAGCCAGATTTGACTTCGAACCATGGAGTATGAATCATTCAGCTGCATAAAAAATTGTAACACTTTTTGTTGATTCAAATGCTCCAAATAGGCCTTTGCCGAAGCACTATCAGGTGTAGGTAAGTTCATCAAAGAATCAAGCTCATCCCAAAGTGACTTGAGCTTATTATAGTAAATGGCTACTGTAGTGGTTCCTTGGGTTAAATTCACAATTTCCCGATGAAGAGCAAACACTCTAGTTCCGTTCACTTTGTGGTATTGTTCTTTCAAATCTTGCCAAACTTGTGCAGCGCTTGTTGAATAGACTATTCCATTAAAGATTTCCTTTGACACCGAATTAAAAATCTAAGCAAGGACCAATGAATTACACCTCTCCCATTGTGGAATCAAGTTAGAGTGTACAGATGACTTAGTGCAGGTGCCATTAACAAACCCTAGCTTGTTCTTAGCACACAGAAAGACTGTCATTGCTCTACTCCAGATGCCATAATTTTCAGAACCAATCAACTGTTCTGAAACCAATACAGATCCTAGTGTGTCTGATGGATGTATGCAAAGCAGTGAGGTGGAGTCAATTGAGGGAATATTTACCCCTTCTGTCGAATTCGCTATAATATCTCTTAAACTTCAAAACCCAAGTCGGATCAACTAAAGACTATGAAATATGAAATTTAAGAACGAGAAGAGAAATTGACAAACTCAAAGCTTCTTCAAATTTGTCTAAGATGCAAGAATGGGCTTTAATTGACCTGGGTTTTGATTTGAGAAGCGGAAGTTTGGTGCTCTAATACCATGTTGAGAGAGCAAAAGAAACAGAGGAAAGCTGAAAATTGGGCAAAATATCGACTGACTTTATTGAATAAAAAATGGTTTCTTATATACAAGCTTAGTAACTCTAGTTACATTTGAGCTGAGCTGAAGTAAGCAAAACTAACAACTAAGCAACTCTAACAACTAACCAATTTGATTAACCAAAATAACTTATAACATGTTTTGACTAAACTACCCTTATATTTGCAATAGTATATGGTACTTTTAGCCATATGTGGAAATATTTCAATGCTCTTCACTTTGTGATATTTGGTGAGAATTTGAATATGAATGCTTCGTAAGCTTTCCAGTCCTGGAACTATTTTGTGGCAATAAACCTGAAAGATGTTTTGACTTATTATTAATATTTGTCATAAAATTGTACACTTCTGACAAATACTTTTCTTTGTGTGTATATATATGAATAATTATCATTTATTTTGCTTGTGCTACCATTCAAAGCTTAGAAGAAGATATCAGGGATGTGTTTATCGGACAGGATCCAAGCAGTCTCTTTTATGGCCCATTTGAAAAAAACTTTGCATTGTTTTGCTCCTAGATTTCACTCTGTAGTTTCAGCATCCATAGAATCAGTTATGGAATCCAGTTGAATACATAGTATAAGGATCATGCATTGAACCTTGCAATATCATCAATTTTTTTATTGCAAAACTATTTAGTGGTTATGAAGATTGTTATCTGCAAGGTCTGTTTGCCTTGACATTTCTATGGATTGATTCTTTCATGTCCCTGTTGGGTTCATTAAAAACAATTTCATGGATTTAATTCATGCCTTTGTCTCGGTCTTTCTTAACATTTTTAAGCAGAAACCGATGTCTCCCTTCAAATTTTTTTACAGTTATTGCACTCTTTTCCTTTTGTCTAAATATTTGAGTTTAATGACCTGATCTCTCAAATTAAAACTTTATGGGTGAAGATGTTGAAATGGGAAAAAAATTTCAGGTATTATGCTGGCTCATCGAGATTTTGAATAATCATTCTTATAGCACTATTATTTTCTTCACCTATTGGATTCATTCAGTTTATTGGTTTTATTTACTTGGAATGGAAACTCAATTGTTCTAATGCAATGCAACCATTTTGGGTTGTGATAAAGCCAAATTATGTATAACTTGGAAGAGTAAACGACTTTTTCACACCCAAGGTTTGCGTTAATGACACTTCCCCACCCAAATTTTATATTCCGTTAATATCTAAAAAATACTTTAGTATCTTAATCGGCGTTCAGCGAGTTATCAAAAGCCAGGGTAAGAAGGTTTTTGTAGAGTGGAGGCGATAGATTGAATGGTGGTAACCGATTGAATATTTATTGTTGGAATCAGTTGAAAATCAGTAAAGAATAAGAAATCCTAGGTTTGCGATGGTTGACAATTGGCGAGAAATCAGGTGTCAAAGTGAAAGGGGTTTTGTAGAGAGAAGACCGAAGGTTGAAAATTTTCACCGCCGGAATCGGCTTTGAGTAGTAAGAAAATATTAACTTTGGGTGAAAAAGTGGTATTCTAAAACTTTTTGGGTGATTAAGGCAAATCTTGGGTGGGAAAATGTCCGTTTACTCAATTTGGAATCGTGGAAACTTAAAAGAGGACCTCGCTGGCCGATCGTATAACGAGTGTTGTGTCTAAAAAGTCCCTAAAATTAAAGTAAAATTACAACTTCTACCCAATCTGGATCATTTTGATATTGATAAATGATAACCATGCCACTGCCACTACCACTCCTACGCTCTTACTCTCACCACGCTCGCATTTTCTCAACCTCCATCTCACTCCTAAACACCCTCCACCGATCAATGACTACCGCACCGGTCACAGAGCTCATGAGTCCATCCAACACTCGCGTGGGCTGGATTGGCACAAGCATAATGGAGCGTTATATGTGCGGTCACTTACTCAAAGCCGGCTATACAGTCACCATCTTCAACCGCACCATCGCCAAAGCTCAACCACTCCTCGACATGGGAGCTCACCTCATTGATTCCCCCCAGGCCGTCGCCTCTGAATCCGACGTCGTCTTCTCCATCGTCGGATACCCCTCCGATGTTCGCCACGTCATCCTTCACCCCGCCTCCGGCGTCCTTTCTGGCCTCCGTCCTGGCGGAATTATGGTGGACATGACCACATCTGAACCTTCACTCGCCTGCGAGATATCCGTCGCAGCCTCCTCCAAAAACTGCTCCGCAATCAATGCCCCTGTCTCTGGCAGATATCGCGGTGCCAAAAACGGGGCTGTTGTGGGGTGGTAATTGATTTATGCCCATGTGGAAGTCAAAGTTTAATTTGGGCAGTCAAAGTCATTTTGCTAAAGCTAAGGGGCAGTTCTATCAAAACCAGTTTTCAATAAACCTAATTCAAATTAGGTTTTTGCTCATTTTCATTTCTCTCGAGTTTTCTCTCTTGGTTAACAGAGAGAGAAAAGTTTGTTATGAAATGTGGGATGCGCTGGAGTTTCGAAGAGCGTTGATGGAATCAACGGTCGTGGTAGGTCTTAGCTGGATTGTTTTTCTGTTTTCTTCTTCTGTATAAATAGAATCTAATGCTTGGTTATTTGGTGTGTGGTGTATGAGAGGTGTTGAGATCTGGGTTTACAGAGGGGTGTGTGCACTATGTAAAGGGAGAGCGTATCTCTGTAAGATTCTCTTATTCTCATAGTGAAAATCTGCTTATTGCCCTACAGAGTGGATGTAGGTAATCTATAAGATTACCGAACCACTATAAATCTCTGTCCCCTTTACATTTCATGTTTATCTGCTGCATATATGTGGATTTTATCTGCTGCTTATATGTTGAATTTTATCTACTGTTGAATGTTGTTTTTCTTGCTTTTTGGTTTTGCGGTTTGGTCTCTTAAGTTTTAACAAGTTGTATCAGAGCTAGGTTATCATTCTAACACCTAGGGTTTCTCTAGGTTAAGAGATCTTTTTGCGAATCTGAAGCATCTAGGCTTAGATTTGGGTTCCTTTTTAAAACAGTTGCAAGTTAGGGTTTCTGTTTAAGTCTTGGGTAAATTGGGGCTTTTTACTCTAGGCATCTGTGAAGGATAGGAACCAAGAAAATGTCTAAGTTTGAGGTGGAGAAATTCACAGGGGATAATGATTACGGATTGTGGAAGATGAAAATAAGGGCTATCTTAGTTAAGGATGGTTTGGCTGACACTTTAGAAGGTAAGGATAGTTTACCAGACTCCCTGTCTGAGAAGGAGAAGAAAAATCTTTTAGATAAAGCCTATAGTACCCTAATTCTAGGTTTAGGGGATAAGGTCTTAAGGNGAAGTTTAGTCCTCCATAATGAAGTCATTCATCTTCACAATTCAGTTCTAGGAAATCCTATATTATAAGGGTGACTGCATCTTGCAAGAAGTTTAGTCCTCCATAATGAAGTCATTCATCTTCACAATTCAGTGCTAAAGAATCCTATATCATATGGCTGAAAGGGTGACTGCTTCTTCCAAGAAGTTTAGTCCTCCATAATGAAGTCAGGAAAGAGTGGATTTAGGGATCAATTAATAAGAAACTTAAGGAACCTTACCTAGTCAATTTGAAGTCAATTTAGACAATGTTTTATGTACTTTTGAAAAGTTTTGCTAGTTCAAGTATATTTTTATTAAGTTCAAAAGTAATGGTAGATCTATGGTATCCATGATTGGAAAGTAGTGTTTCCGCATTTGGCATCACACTACCATGGTTTTGGCTACTATCCTATGTCACTAACCATTAGAGGCGATGAGTGTTGGGTCAATTATATTGCTTTGCAGTTTGCTTCTTTCAAAGATGAAGTACGAAACATGCATGCTAGTTCATGAAATGTTGATATATGCCACATAGATATAGGCATCTGTTTTAGAAAGATTCGTGTTTTCTTTGACCCTTAGCCCTAGCTCATTTTCCAGATCATAAAATTTGATGTCTAAATAAATATAATAGTAAGTCTTTTGTTAGGTTTTTTTCTTGACTACAAAGGTACAATGCATGGTTATTTTCCGAAACTGAAGCTTTCACAATACACCTGTCCCTCTTGCAATAATACAAGCATGTTACATTATGAGTTATATTTGGTCCCTAACAATTGTCTTGCTTTGTATATCTCTCATGTAATAGGTTTCCATTCCGGAATCTTTTAATGAATTTAGTTATGATAAAATCATGACTTATTTAGTACGTTATTCACTTTCTATTAATTATTTCATCATGAGTTTCTAGTAAATATAAAGGAAAGGAGTTCAAATGTCACCTATAAAAAATGGGAAGTAAATGTGGTGTAGGAGAATAGGATTAGTTTTTAGAATTAGTATTTTTAGGGTATTATTTCAATTATTAGTGTTTGGAATAGGATTTCATTTGTAATTATATTTTTAGGATTAGAGTTATTAGAATTTATCTTTCATTAGTATTTGTTTTGTCAAGCTTATAAATACATCTTGTATTTGTTTTGTTAAGCCTATGAATATTTGTGGGAAATGTTAAGAGTGTATAGACTAATAAAATAGCATTAAGAGTTGTTTTCGAGTTTCTTGCTATCTCTTCCTAACTTATCTTAATTTTCTCTGTCTCCCTATTTCTTGACTTGTTTCTTGTAGCTAAACTTGTCTTCTTCATTACATCTATTTTACTCTATTTATCTAAATATTTGTAGTTAAATTTGTCTTATTCTTAATTATATATATTTTAATCTATCTGTATTATTTTTTCTTCCTCTGCATCAATTTGGTATCAGGGTCAGTTTTGGTTTTTTTTTCTTAGAAGCTTCTGTACAAATGGGGTTTATGGCCAAAAAAATTATGAATGGGAATTTTAGGGTTTTTGCTGTGTCTAGTGTTTTTGTGTGGAAGCTTTTAAGAAAATAACAAGAAACTTGAACTTGCTCTGATATCAAATTGATAGAAGAGGAATAGACATATAGATTAAAATAGATATAGTCAAGAATAAGACAAGTTTAGATAGAAAATTTAGAAATAAGTCATCAAGAAATTGGGAGATGAAGAAAACTAAAATAGGTTATGAGGAGAAATCAAAGAAGAGATAGTGAGGAATAGCAGGAGAGAAAAATAAAACAGATAGATTAAATTAGATATCGTCAAGAATAAGACAAATTTAGATAGAAAATCAATAAATAAGCCAAATCAAGAAATAGTGAGGTGGAGAAAACTAAGATAGGTTAAGAGGAGAAATCAAAGAAAAGATAGCAAAAAACTCAAAATCAAGTCTCAACGATATTTTATTAGTCAATTCACTCTAATGTTTCCCACAAATACAAGATGTATTTATAGGCTCAACAAAACAAATACTAATGAAATGTGAATTCAATAATTCTAATCCTAACAAATGAAATCCTAGATAAACAATGAAACATTGAAATAAAAAGTACTCTTGAAAAAACCATCAAAAAATGCTAATTCTCTATCAAAATGTGGACTTAAAGAATGTTTCTAGCTGCATATGGAGGTATATGTTCAAGCTTCCTTGTCAACTAGATATTCCCAAATGACGTGGCTAGCAACTTAGATTTTTTATATATCTGGGAAATGCTAAATCACAGAGACTTCTCACCTTTAGCATAGTTTGTCAAACTTCCTAGCCTTGGAGAAAAAAATTGGAGTTAAAGATCAAGAACGTCAGTGAGTTTATTGTGGCATATCCTAGGGAAGAGATTTTCTTACCTAATATCTGTATTGTTCATGAGTTTTTTCCTGTTTGCCATTGCTTAGAAGTTTTTGCTTAAAAGTACCTGCAACTCTTTCTTCAAGGACTTTCATCCATCACTCAACTTTTGAGTGCATTAGGGTAAGTCTCTTTATTTCAGATTTGCCTTGAAGTAAACTTCCATCTCAGTCCTTTGCACATGTATTGTTAGTACATGTATAACTTGGTGATGTTCATCCCAGTTTCCGTTTTATATTTTTTGGCCATTATTCAACTCTATTTTACTTGCAGAGTAGACTCAGGGAATTGATAGTTGTTATCCAATAACAAGTTTGGCCATTGAAAGCATAGCAATGCTAGCCAGTAAATGTGTTTTGTATAGTTCTAAGTATTTTCTACCATTATAATTGGGAAGATATGGACGTGGCTCTAATCTGACAGCATAAAAAGATGGAATTTTGAACCCCGGAGCCTGATATAGCTTGGACATGGATCTTCAGAATGGACCCAAATGAGCCAGATTGAACCTCTCGGAGGTTGTCTTAACCCATATACTATCATTGTCATTTATCATGGTAGTTATGTTTCAAAATTAGCATCTTGGATGATAGATGATAAATCTGTTTTAAAACCTGTTTGCAATAGGGTTATGTATGAACCGCTTGCTCAGATCTGAAATCTTATCTGATTTCTGTTTTATATGTAGGGAATTAGAATAATTTATGAGGCCACATCATTTTTTGAACGAGTACTATTTCAAATCTTTCTTCGATCTGTAAATAAAACTTAAAAGCGTAAAAGGAGACAAACATGTACATGGAGACCTTTGATTTCAAATCTTACTTCGATACGTAAATAAAATTTAAGGCGTAAAAAGAGACAAACATGTACATGGAATTAAACCCAAATCGGGAAATTCAAATCCAGGAACTTGATAATGAGGTTGAGGTTACTCTTCTTACGCTTAGAAATTCGGTGTCTCTAGAGCGGAATAAGGAAATTCAACCTATCATATCAAGGAAAAATATACTGGAAATAGAGGACACGGCTAGTGATGCTGGAAGTAGCAATAACAGGAAAATAGTTGGGTATAAATCTGTGCAAATCCTAGTATATGAAGAAGAGACTCCAAGCACGAAAATGATGATGAGTCATGAAATGCATTGTCATGCGATAGTTCATGGGACTATAGACACATGCATACGTGCTAAACTGTGTTTTCCAGAATATGAGGAATATACTCTGGATATTCTTGTAGACACAAGAGCAACCAAATGTATTGCAAGGAAGCAATGTTTTCCACAAGAGCTTTGGAAACCATTGGAAAAACCTATCCTAAATACGGTTGCAGATGGAGGTCAAAGTATGATCACGGATGTGGTAGAAAACGTGGTTGTACTGTTAAACGAGAAAAAATTCACTCTAAGGGAAGTCCTAGTAGTGGATTACTTGGAGGTAGATTTTATTCTCGGAAATAGCTTTCTGCGAGGTCAAGCAGAAGTTAGGTCATTTACGCAAGATAACGACCACATTATCCTTGGAGGACATAAAATCCCTATTCTTGCTAAGCCTGAAGTTTCGAAAGTTAGAAACGGTTTTAGATAGGTGAAACTAAGGCAAGAAGTAGATCACATTGTTTTCCAAGTTTTGGAAACAAAGAATTGGTGGTTGAAATCTTCTGATGCAGAAGAAGTGGATGAGGCTCGTAATGTTTTCTTTCAAAGGTTGTATCCTAGTTATCATACAAACCGGATCACACGAGGTATATCGCAGGAGGATGATCCCTCTGGTGCATGCCTTGAGAGCACGGATAAATCCATACATAAGGAAAAAATCTTGAAGGTTGAAAACGAGAGCCAAAAGAACTCTTTAAGGATTGAGGGATTTGTAAAATCCTTCAAAGAGGAACTTTCTCCATGCTTTGATAATCAACCATTAAAGTTATGGGAAAGGAACGGTATATATGCTTCACTTGAATTGAAAAGGAAGGATGATAAAATAGTGACCAAATCCTATCCTTATACTCCTGATGCAGAGGAGGAATTTAGTAAGCAAATACCNTTGAGAGCACGGATAAATTCATACATAAGGAAAAAATCTTGAAGGTTGAAAACGAGAGCCAAAAGAACTTTTTAAGGATTAAGGAATTTGTAAAATCCTTCAAAGAGGAACTTTCTCCATGCTTTGATGATCAACCATTAAAGTTATGGGAAAGGAATGGTATATATGCTTCACTTGAATTGAAAAGGAAGGATGATAAAATAGTGACCAAATCCTATCCTTATACTCCTGATGCAGAGGAGGAATTCAGTAAGCAAATACCGGATTGCTGAAAAAGCAATTGATACGCGCCAGTAAAAGTCTACACTCTTCGCCAGCATTCATGGTCATGAATAGAGCTGAGCAATTAAGAGGAAAATCGCGGATGGTTATCGATTATAGGCAGTTAAATGAAAAAACCATTGACAATGCTTATAAGATACCAAACAAATCAGCTTGTTTGAATAAAGCTAGATTTGGAAAAATCTTCTCTAAATTTGATTTAAAGTCAGGTTTCTAGCAAATCAGAATGGAGGAGTCAAGCATTCCTTTGACGGCTTTCACCTGTCCGAAAGGATTGTTTGAATGGATAGTTTTGCCTTTTGGACTTAAGCAGGCACCATCAATATTCCAAAGGAAAATGGATAAAGTCTTTGGAGATTTATCTAACTTTTGTGTAGTCTATATTGATGATGTTTTGGTTTTTAGTAAAACTATGGAAGAACATGTATATCATCTTAGACTAGTGATAAAAAGGTTCCTTGATAATGGAATGATTCTATCTGAAAGAAAGGTAGAATGGTTTAAGAACAAGGTGAAGTTCTTAGGCGTTGAGATAGGTGAAAGAGGTATTCAACTCCAAGAACATATCTCAAAGAAGTTGTTGGAATTTCCAGATGTGCTGGAAGATAAGCACATGCTACAGCAATTTCTTGGATTAGCCAATTACATGCGCGAATATGTTCCTAATCTCGCTAATGTAATTAATGGCTTGACGCTTAAGGTTAGTGATAAAGTGCCCTAGGTTTGGACACTTGAAGACACTAATTATGTTAAGCGGACCAAAGCCTTGACAAAGCAATTAAAACCTTTAAACTCCCGGAAGATGAGGATAAACTCATTATAGAAAGTGATGCATCTCATTTGTTTTGGGGAGGTGTGCTTAAGGCTAAGGGTACTGATAATATTGAACGAATTGTTCGATATGCGTCAGGAAAATTTTCTCATACTGAAATAAACTATCCTGTCCATGAGAAGGATGTTTTAGCAGCGAAGGAATGTATTGACCGATTTTGATTGTTCATAATCAGTCAGGAATTTAGTTTAAGGACAGACTCTAAATATTTAAAAACCTTTATGAAACTGTCTTTAAAGGATGACAAACTAGACTAATCAGATGGCAGATATGGTTTGCAAATTATAGAATCAAATTTGAATATATTTCTGGTAAATCTAACTTTGTTGCTGACTTTTTGTCTAGACATTTTGCAGAAGAATTGCAGGATAATGGCGGACAAGAAGGAAACTGGAAATCATTTCTCATGTTCCAAGTGTAAGCAACGAGGACACTTGAGAAGGAACTGCCCTTCGAAGGTTACTTCTACTTCAAAGGTTACTGCTAAAAAGGAGAAAACTGTACATAAGCAGGTGGCTTCTTCTTCTAAGCAGGTTACTGCTGTAAAGCAGGTCGAAGGAAAGAGTCATGACTATGATTCTGGTACTTCGGATAGAAGAAACCCGAAATTTCAACGATTGACGGGTAAAACTTCTACGAAGGAAAATACTTCTGAAAAGAGGGTTACTCTAAAGAAGGAAACGACTCAGAAAAAAGCAATAGTTTGCTGGTCTTGTAAACAGGAAGGACATGAACGGGCTACTTGTCCACTATCAAAGATAAAAAATTCTGAGGAATCATCGTCAGGCGCTACAAGCGTGGTAACACACACTCCACAAAAAAAGCAGTTAATTGACGCAGATATTTGTGAGAGGTTTAGCTTTCTAGAAGGCATAAGATTATCTTCTGCAAGTCAAACACTCTGGGAGAATCTGGAAACCCAAATTAGGATCGCAATGGCGACAGGACAAGGGGAAGTACAGCTGTAGAGGTATTTAGAAAAGCTAGCAAGAAGGTTAGCTTGGCTGGAAGCTGACAAACTGTTTTATGAGGATGAAGAGTTCAAGGGAACTGCTTTACTCTACGAAGCAGGAATTCAAAAACTTGAGGTAATGAGAAAATGTCATTTGTTTGACATGTCGACACTCAAACTCGAGAATTTAAATTAATTAATGGTAAAATTGGGAAAAACGGACTTGACAGATGTGTTTCAAGGATTAGCGGTTTATCCTAATGGAGCTATAGAATTGTTCGTTCCATGGAAAATCTTTAGAAAAGGTTTCTGTAGAGATCTTTCGACTAAAGGATGGATCGATACAATGCAAATTGATGTACATGAAGCGATGGTGGATCCGAATATGCCAGATGCGGTTAAGCAAACGCTCTGTGTATTGAATCAGAAAGTTGACACATTCACTTGCATGATTACTTCCTCATTGCAAGAAACCTATGATGTTCAACCTGTACAAATATGGAAATTTCTTGTAGGAGAACCATGGTACCGAATTATGCTCGATAATGAGGTAAAAAGGGGTTCTTATGCACTAGAAGAAAGTCAAAAGAAAGAAGAGGAAGATTGGACTAGGTTGCATATTGCAAAATTGCTACTGGTTAAATCTAAACTAGAGGAGCTTGTTAAAGCAAACGCTATTGTCCATATCCAACATGGGATAGTGGTAGTTATACTAGACAAATACGCAATGATCTAGGATACTCTTTTTCAACATAATCAGGCCCAGTTAAGAACGCTATTAGAAGGGTTCGATTTAGCCCATTTATCAAAGCAGGCCTTAATGGAAGGAACTATTGTTCTTCTAAGGTTGGTCTTAGCCCACGACCAGGAAGCCCAAGAAGATGAGACTCTAAAAGATTTTATTGATCTTATAGAAGTGGATAACTTCAAAGATTGATAAAAATCTGGAGGATGGAGATTTGGACAACCGGAAACGTCCAACATGTAATACGCTGACGTGTATCCAACAAGCGGAAGCAATACGAAATTTAATGAAGCATATTTAAAGAAAATCTTGAATGTTGTGTTGTATTGTCTCATGTAACATGTGTAAATTGTAATAATTTACTTTTGTTTAAAACATGGGAGACATGTGGACCCCATGTCATTTTCTTTAAGATAAATGTTAGTTTTTTATTAGGCAAAAGTCAAATCACATTTCTTTTGTGATTGACATGTTGTTTTGTATATTTTGTTTTTCTTACGGATTCAAATCTTTTGAAATCTGAACTTCTCTATATAAAGAGAAGCTTTGTATATTTGTAATCAGAGAAAATTAATAATACTTTCAGTTTGTAAAAAATTCTCTCAATCTCTTGTTTACTTTTAATTGTACACTCGAGATAAGGAAAATGTTTATTCAAGACGATTGATATCTAGGTATGAATTAATCTGTTAAACTGAATTTATGTATTTTCTCTCCAATTAATCAACTAGGTTAATTAATTATTAATTGTAATAATATTTGTTAGACTGGATATAAAAAATATTATGTGACGAGTGGCTACGGAAGGTTCGAAATCTTGTCAAACGGGTAAATGGCAGGTATAATTATGTACAACTTGGTGCTGTACGATTTTTGGAAGTCAACGCGGAAAGTCAAACTTCTAAATTTGAGCCAATTTGGGGATACAAAATTGATTCTGATGAGGAGGTTTATGAATTAATTTTGGATTACTCTGATGATTCAGATTCTTCAGAGGATGACTCAAAAGATATGACTTTTGAGGAACAATCTTCAAATCTTCAACGCAGAGGTATATTCATGCAATGGACGCGTAGTCTTAATGAATATCCTAGGAATAGCGGTATTGATGATGAGGATGATCTTATCCCAATTAGAAATGAAGATGAAAACCCTAACTCGGTAATTAGTTCATCATCTAATTACGAGGATCACTCGAGTAACCCTGACAATTGGGTAAGTCCGAGGTTAACACCTAGAGAGGTTTTTGCGAAACGCTCTAAATGGCTATTTAAAGCTGAAGGCTTGGAAGATGTACACGAAAAACCTGTTCGTGTAGCTTTGTCTCAATCTCGAGAGGGTGAATTAGTACTCTCGAATGACGAGTGGCTATGGAAGGTTTGAAATCTTGCCAAACGGGCAAATGGCAAGTATAATTATGTACAACTTGGTGCTGTAACTTGCTAATTGCTCTCCAAAACACTTGGTTATTTACTTTTCATTCAATTTTGAGTTTGAAGGACACTTGCATATCCTGATTGGACTGAAAATTAATTTGGGGTTTAGACACTGTTTGACACTTGTCATGTAATCTGCAAGTTATATATTTAAAAAAAAAAAAAAAAAAAGGGAAAAAAATTCTTACAGAACTCTTGCTTTTTAGGTATGAAGGTGAATGGCTTCAGAACAATATGGATGGCCATGGTGTTGTTGAAGTTGACATTCCTGATATAGAACCTGTGCCAGGTTCCAAGTATGTTTATCATCATTTATTAACTCAATGGTTAGAAATCTGTGCAATCATTTCTATGTTATATAACTTAATTGAGTTGCTTTTTGCACATTTCCCCCAAAGGCTTGAAGCAAAGATGCGTGCTGAAGGAAAAATTATATCAAGAGATTTTATGTCCCCAGAAGACAGAAAATGGCTGGAGATGGATATTGAAGATAGCATTCGTTTGGCTGACGGCCGCTATGAAATTCCTTTTTATGAAAATGACGAGTGGATTAAACAATTTGGGAGGAAACCGTAAGATTTAACTTGAAGCTCTCTGATCCTTTCAGTTCAATCATAATACAGTGATTCTGTCATTTGTCTTTTTATCAGTTTACTACAGTATAGGGTCCGTTTGGTTCATTATTCTAATATTTTTTTAAATAATATTTTGAAAAAAGTTAAATTGGGTGGGTATTACGATGTAGGATTTGGAAATTAACAAAAATACCCTCTATGTTTGTTTATTTACTAAACACCCCTAATAAAATTTTAAAAGTTAACAAAAAGACTCCCAACTCACCCATTAAATACGGACAGCCGGCCACCACCTCCAGAGGATGGCCGGATTCACTGTATCGGCGCATGACCGGTTGGATCTTGTCTGTCGTGCGCCGATATGGCCTTTTCCGGCCAGATTCACGGTGGATTTGGCCTGAAAAGGCTAGATCTACGGCTAGATCTGGCCATTGATGGCCAGATCTGGTCGCATTTGGTCGTCAACAACGGCCAAAGATACGGCCGTCGTTGATGGTCAATGACGACCATATCTTGGCCGTTGTTGACAACTGGCTACGGCCAAAGATTTGGCCTTTTCTGGCCAAGTCCACCGTGGATCTGGCCTGAAAAGGCTAGATCGGCGGATTACCGGCCAGATTCAGCCGGTAGTGCTCCATTATACCAGATTCCGGCCAGCTTCCGGCAGTGGTGGCCGGAATCTGGTAAATGTGGGTTGCTGGGGTGTTTTTGCAATTTCTAAAAAAAAAATTGGGGGTGTTTAGTTAAATTAACAAATTTAGGGGGTTTTAAAAGAAATTGAATAATATGGAATAATATTTTGAGAATAAGCCAATTTTACTGTTTAACTTTATTGGGAAAACCCAAAATGCTATTTGGAAGAGTGAATCAAACAGAGCCATAGTTTCTTGTTGTCATCATGTTTGCTGTTTGTTTTTGGATCAGAATTCGTATTCTTGTTATGTGTGCCAAGGCACCTAGGCTTTATCTCAATGCTACTAGTTAGGACATCTAAGTTATACCAAGAGAACCACTTCCCTATGTTTTGACCATGTGCCTTGCTTTTCTGCCAAAGAATGTTGAGTGTTTAGGAGGTAAATAGGATTGTCTGCATTCATGTCATATTGAATACTAATCAGACTTAGTTCTAAATCAATTGAAAAGTTGTTATGAGAAGGTAACAAAAATTAGAGGAATGGTCACATCCATTGAATAACATTAAAAGACTTGGACTTACGAATATGTACATATAAAAATGTGCCAGATGAGTTTGTTAATCAATTTTATAATGTTGTCTTTCTAATATAATGTCATTATAATTTAGTACTCTCACAATTAATATTAAAAGGGACATAATTACTTCAAAGAACTTCTTGGTCTGCAGCTTTATCCCATGTCTCAGCATGTAATTCAGTGGATTGTTGACTTAAGAACAATGCAGAATGATTTAGTATCAACAACCAGCTTACCATCTTAAATTGCCAACTCAAACAATTTTCTTTTTCAGGCTATGATTACCAAATTAAGTGTATCTAAGCTCAACAATTCTCGTCTAAAGTATGTTGTTGATAAATAGGACTATCTATTTCTTTTCATAGTGATATGATATATGATTTTTTTCCTTTTCCTTTTATGTCTGAGGAATCTTTTTCAAGATTATTGATGATAGTGGATCTGATACAGCGAGAAAGGTCGATACCGCTATGCTGGTCAGTGGAAGCTTGGAAGAATGCATGGGTGTGGTCTATATGAAGTCAACGAGAACCCCATTTCTGTAGGTCCCTGAAATATAACCACTAATCAGTGGATCCATTTCTGTTTTCAAGTTTTTGGAATTTGGGGGCTTAACTTTAATTTTTGTTAAAAATGCAAAATGGGCCTAGACATTATATGCTCTTAAGTCCGTTTTCCATGACTATTGCCTTTTGCTAGAAAAGATATGAAATTGATCTGTTACAGTTTTGTGAAATATGAGATGGAAGTATTATTTCTGGAGATGTCCATTATATTTGATGTTATGATTCAGTTTTGTTCTTAAATTTTGCAATTAATTTGCCCTTGTTATATGGTTTCTTTTCTCCTGTATGATAAACCTCACATGTTACATTTTTTTTGACCTTAACCGTTTGACTTTATATCCTGTATATAAATTCAGGGCAGGTTCTACTTTGGGGAGCTACTGGAGGACTCCGAAGGTTGTGATGAAGAGAATGTTGCGGTATATTAAAGCTCTTTACTTGTTCATGAATTATGTTGTGGTGGTGAAAAGAATCTCTCTCAGCTAGAGTGAAAATTTTTACTGATATTATGGTTCTTTCAGCTGCATGCAGGTCTTGCAGAAGTAGCTGCAGCTAAAGCTAGGATGTTTGTTAACAAACCAGATGGAAGTATGTATTTTTAATTTTGTTATTAATTTATCTGGAAAGGACTAGCTTTTTGATGTAAGGATTGTTTCATGTGGAAGCTAGTCAATTGCTACCCTCTAACTGACTAGGAATGCTTACTCTTTAACTCGTTGGACTGGTAGCTTATAATTGAATGCAGGTATGCAACATGGAAAAGGGACAATAATATCATAGGCTTACCGTGTACCCTCTTGTCAACAAATTATCATGCTCGTTGATTTGGGTGCATATATGTGATGAACCGAGTTATGTGACGAGATACATATGGAATTGCACAAATTATTGGTTGAATATTTCCTCAAAAGCCTTGACAATTATCTGATTATATGAGGCCCAAAAAGGAAAAAGGAAAACTTTAATTTACATTAATAGAGCTATTGGACATACTATACTGAATTGTGTTTTTGTCCTTGTTCTTGGTCGTGGCCTGAATCCTGTTTTCTGGAATGTACCTCTTTCATAGTTTTTATCTAATGGAGACTTAATTAATGATATAAATTAAACATGCACATTGTTTGGAGCTATTAATTATTATTATTATTTTTGCTTTGCAAAATTTTAGTCACTGTTACAACTCACACCTCTTTAACAATAATTTCATTTTTTTTCTTGCTAAAGTGGTTAGAGAAGAGAGGGGTCCATATAGCGATCCTCAACATCCCTATTTCTATGAAGAAGAAGATGTGTGGATGGCACCAGGCTTCATTAACCAGTTCTATGAAGTAATTGAACTTTATATTTGCCTAGTAAACTCGTTTGCGATACTCAAGGAACTGAGATATGAGTGCATTCATTTGGCAGGTACCTGATTATTGGAAAACATATGTTCATGAGATTGATCAGGAGAGAGAAATATGGTTAAACTCTTTTTATAAATCCCCATTTAGGATACCTATGCCTGCAGAGCTTGAATACTGGTGGGAGAAAGGTATATCATTCTCATCATTTCTCTGTATCTCTCTGTCTCTATTTCTCTCTCTGTGTGGCTTGGTACAAAGAATTTTATGTCTAATATTGGTGTTAAGTTCGGTAAGTGGTCTGCTTGTGATATGCAAACCATAAGACAAATGCTCTTTCTTTAAAGCACTTCAATCATTTCTTATGTTATCCTTTTTTTTTTTTTTTTTTTGGGTCATCTTGCTTGTCCTTTTATTTACTCCTTGCTAACCAAATATTGGTGATTTCTTGATGTAGAAAAGGTGAGTGGTTCTCTTTAACTGCTACCAAGACAAAATCTCTTGTATCTTAATAATTTTGCCTTGAATACATGTACCATTCCTTTTATTACTGAGCATTTTTATCATCAACCGAATACAGCTTTCTTGGTCTTTTATTAATATCTAATGTAACAAAATGGAGGACAAAATAAGAGGGATAAAGTTATTTTAATTTGTTTTTCACTTTAGTAAAAGATTCAATGTTTGACAGTTTAAATTTGGTCAATGACTGGTGAATATAAGAAACCTGGCATTTCGTTTGAAGAAGCAATTATGTGGTGTGGCACTTACCATGCTTAGTATTTCACTATTTTATTGTTAGCGTTCTTATTTCCTGCTCTTTTCTGGTGCATTAACTGCCTGTTTTATTAAGTTCTTTAGCTTGAAATGGATGTGCTATGCTTGATGTCCATTGCATTTTTCTGTATCAGAGGAGCCTCCCGAATTTATCTTGGTTAACAAGGAACCAGAGCCTGATCCCGAAGATCCATCGAAGTTTATATATACTGAGGATCCCCTCATCCTACATACACCAACTGGTCGATTAATTAATTATATTGAAGATGAGAAATATGGAGTACGATTATTTTGGCAGCCACCTTTGAAAGAAGGGGAAGATATAGATTCCAAGGAGATTGAGTTTCTGCCACTTGGTTTTGATGAGTTTTATGGACGACAACCGGCTGAGGAGAAAAAAACCATGTGGCAGCGTGTTGTAATGGCCATAGAAAAGGTATTTAAGCCAGTGCTTGATAAATTAGAGAATTGGACTGAAGAGCAGAAGAAAGTGAGTGAGTTGAAGATGCAGCTTTATGAAAAAGAACTTGATCTTATTGAGGCTGAATTGTGTCTGGAAGAGGCGATTGAGGACTTGGATGAGGATTTGAAGAAAAGAGAGGAAGAGGAAGAGAAGAAGGTGGATACAGGTTTGGAGGAAGAAGATACTTCTGCTTTGCCTAGCCAAGCTGAGAAGGTTATAGGTGAAGAAAAGGTAGAAGTGGGTGAGGGTGAGGATGAGGATGAGGAAGAAGAAGAAGAGGAGGAGGAGGAGGATAATACACCATCCAGTTTTGGATCTGTTACTGGAGATCAGGATTCATCAAAGAATGACCAGACGGGGAAAAAATCTGGGGAATCTCCCTTTTCATCGTTATCATTGTCATTTGCTTCTCGTAGCCTTGTTTCATCGGTGAGTTCTGATTCCCATGAAATATGTACTGTAATAGTCATTGCGAAAAGTTATTTGCTTGCTAATACAAGTTTGTGTTGCTCAGGTTTAAATTTGTGGATGTTTTTAGTTTCAGCCTTTAGCAATAGACAATTTAAACAGCTACATGGATTGAATGACTCAGGTTGATAATTTGTGTATAACATGTATAAATTACTTGTTTGCTGCCATGGTTGAAATGATAATTCCCCATAAGGGTATATTATTTGCTGCTTGTGTTTAGTAATCTAGCTTTTGTATTAACCCTGTTTGATTTGGAATTTAAATACAATTCTTTGTTTTCAAAAACAATGATAGAAGAAATTTTATGAAAATTTGTTTGTAAAATTTGACCAAATAGTGGATAATAATCATCTCTAAAGTATTCTATAGGAGAATTAAGTTATTTGCAAAGAATACAATGAAGTTCTGAGTCTTGGGTGGCGAGACAAGAATAGGAATGTTCTATTTGCCTGATTTGCATATAGATAACGGGTACTTGATTTTTTTACACAGCACAGAAGAAAGTAAAATTACAAAACATTGAAACAATATAATGGTGAAATTAAGCACCATATGGAAATATACTCACATCTCCCCAATCATGAAACGTGTTAATGTTGTGGCAGATTCTGTGAATTGTGTGAATCATTTTTGTGTAGTAGTTGTTATTTTGACAATTGCTTTGAGCGCTCATTATGATGAGATTCCATTCCTTATAGTTTGATTGGTTCATTATGTTGATTATATATTTTAACTGTATGAATGGTGTCCTTATTTTCCCCTTTTTTTTTTTTTTTTTTTTTTTTTAAATTAGGAACTTATGGAAATCAAATTTGAATTGAAATTATTTTCTTCTTTCCTAAATAACTTTGTTGGCTTTGCAGGTTCCATCTAGGCTGCAACAATCATTCTTATTGTGGAAGGAAGGCAGATTGCTGCCAAAACCAACCACTCCATGCATCCAGGACCACAAGTACCACCCGGTACCAGTTGATACAGTCCATTTTCCTTCAGTTCTGAGCCATAAAGGGAGTTTGAAGGCAATGATTCAAGCACACCAGAAATTCCAACCAAGAAACCGCTCAAATGGGAGATCTCATCTACATTCAGCGTCTGTTGGCCCCAAAAGAGTGGTAAAAGCAGCAAGAGCACACACCCACAGTTGGCTGCATGCAGCACCAGATTTAGATGTCGACCAAATATTATCTTTGCACACACCAATATATTTTTTTAAATCATATACAGATACTACAAGTATTGAGGCTCATTCTTCCCTTTAACAATGTGATGTAACTTGATTTTTTTGAAGAGGATCAGTTTTGTTGTAGCAGCAACTCATTGTCGGCCATTTTGTTTTTATGTACTTTTAGCTCTGCCTGGATTAACCTGGGCTAATAAAATGCAGAATTAGAATTTGCTTCGAGTTTGGACATATGTTTTTTGAAAATGCATTTGTAAATTATATCTTAGGAATTTTTGAAATTTGAAGTAATAAAATTGTCTGTTGTTGCTGGTGTTTTGGAAAACAACATTATGGATTAAAAGTACTTAAGAAGGTATTAGAGAGAGGCTATGCAACAACGTTATCCATGTTCTCTACTGTTCGCTACAAGAAGACAAACTCAAGGCTTAATGTTGGACGGAAAGCTGTCAGTTCAATTTCCGTTCCAACAAAAGGGGATTGTTCTATTACATTCAATAACTGCAAATGTGATTTAACTTATAATTATTTTCTTTAAACAATATTAATAAAGATTACAATAAATAAACCACAATGGTCAATTTACAAAATTAGAGTAATCGACTTTTTCGCACCCAAGGTTTGGCTTAATGACATTTTCCCACTAAAAAAGTTTCAAAACACTATTTTTCCACCAAAAGTTTATATTTCGTTAATACCCAAAATACATTTCACTTTCTCAACCGCGCGTTGAATGAGTTATCAAGAGCCAATGTAAGAAGGTTTTTGTAGAATAGAGACCGGTGGATCAAATGGTGGTGACGGATTGAATATCTGTCGTTAGAAATTAGCTAAGAACAAAAAACCTTAGCTTTGCAATGATCAGTAATCGACGAGAAATCTGGTGTCGAAGTGAAAGAGGTTTTATAGAGAAGAGACTAAAGGTTGAAATAGTTGTGATAAAAAGAATTTTCGTCACTAAAGCCGGCCAGAATCAGCTTTGAATATTAACGGATATTTTAAAACATTTTAGATGTCAAAACGTCATTAAAAGAAACCTTGGTTGGGGAAGTTAATAATAATTGAATTGGCAACATTATTTAATCCAGTGAATCTTAATCCTCTCAAACTTATCCAATAAATTATGAATTGAATGCCAAGTACCAAGTTGCTTAAAGCTGCCGGCCTTGACTACTACTAGAATTGGTATAACCCACAAAAATAATGGGGGGCCATTCCAGAATGCAATGCATCTCAACAAATAAAACAATAGAAAATTTCAAAAACTCAAATTTAATGTGTTTTGTCTGTTTCAATTTTTAATGCTTTCATCTACCAGACTCAATTTACTCTGCAACTATACCACCAGATGGACATCGACCCGGAATAAGCGCTTATCCGAAATCCCAAACTTATCCACAAACAGTGTTATCCAATAATTAAACAGTTATTTTAGTTGAAATTCAATTTTCTTTTCGTATGATAATTTAGTTGAAACTAATGGGAAGAGCTAGTGGAGGAAAAGAAGAAAAAACAACAATATCACGTTCTGAGAAAAATAGTGATGTTTGATAAGAACATTTATGTTTTTAGCTATCAATTTGCATATTTCCACTTTATTCTTATGCCCTACAATGTTTATCTAAATGCACTTACACTGTTGTTCTTCAATTATTAATCTCCGACTTTGGTTATTTTATAATATAAGATTGCCCTTAAGTTATGTCATAAAATAAAATAAAGTTTCAAAATATCACTTTCCCACCTGAAGTTTATATTCCGTTAATACCCAAAATACACTTCACTTTCTCGACCGATATTCGACGAGTTATCCTGAATAGTGGATGTCGTTGGATTGAATGGTAGTAGCCGATTGAATATTCACTATTGAAATCAACTAAAAACATGAAACTTTAGCATTATGATAGTTGGCAATCAATGAGAAATCAGATGTCTGAGTAAGAGAGGTTTTGTAGAGAAGAGACTAAAGGTTCAAATGGTGGTGACAGAGAGAATTTGTTCCATCAGAATTAGCTAGAATCAACTTTGGTTATTAACGAAATATAAACTTTGGGTGAAAAAGTGGTATTTTAAAACTTTTGGGGTGGAAAATTAAGGCAAACCTTGGGTGGGAAAAAGTCCTTTGCTCTAAAAATAAACTTATCAAAACAAATAAAAATTAGGCTTCATTGGGATTTTGGGAAATTTAAAATTTGATAGGTTGAGTGTGAGTGTGAGTGTGACATAGCACAATTAAGCACATACTTTAAATAAGGGAAGTGACAGAAGCCCGTTTTACAATACCTAAACTCTGCATTTCATTAATTTGCACCATTTAAATTTCAGACGCGTCTCCCATTACACCACCCAAAATCAATGGCCAACTATTTATAGTCAAATTATATTTCATCTTTGCTTAAAATTCTAAACTAAAATCTGCTATTCCTGGAAACATTTAGCAGCCATACGCTAGTAATGGACATATCATACAAGTTAATGCTATTTCTGCTTAATTTGACCCACATTTCTTACCTATATAAGTAAAGAAGAAATTCAATTAAAATTGGATTCAAGTAGGCAAAAAGACGATTGTGATTTGTTGACCCGTCATCTATCATCTTTGGAAAGGTTTTTTTTATATGGACACCCCTCAGGTTTAATGAACGAACAGGAGACTCATAGGTTTCAGAATATAACACTTACACCCTTATAGTTTTGAAATGGAATACCCTTGGACACTTTGTAAAAGGTTAATTTTGAAACATAATCTTTGGTATAGTGATTAATTAACCCTTATTTGTCTTTTCTCCTTCAATAAAAAAAAAAAAAAAACTAATGTATGATATTTGTCACATAATCCAAATATTAAATGATTTAAAAATATTAAAATTTGGCAATTTTATTTTCACTCTTATGATAATTACTTTTTAGTGTTTTCACAAGCATGATTCAATTATTATAAGGGTATAAGTAATCCATTTTGAATGGAGTGGGCGTCCTTGTATTTTTCACTAAAGCTGACGGGTGTCCATGTAAAAAGCTGCATGTTTTGATTGTATGTTGACAGCCCAAGACCAACCTTCACCAGCTATTGCCTGCTGCCAATTGCTCATTTAGTATTGTCTTTTTCATACGTTGATTCTTGTTAACAACCTCTGGAGTCTGGATATTGCCTTCACTAGATGCAAAAATAGTTCTACTTGTGTTTAGAAATTAGAACTCGCTTTAATATTAGCCAATACTTTAAAAACTCATTTAAAAATAATAAATAAACAATTCTATTTATGACATTAAATGATTTATTTAGGAGTTATTATAACAAGATAAATACATTATTAAAGTGATTGGATTCAGGAGAAAATGTTTAATTTTGTATTACGCATCTGACAGGATTAATTATAAATTATTAGTGCCACAACAAGTCAAAGAAGAAAAGGATGTGGAATTAACTAAGTACTATTACGAATAAGAATCTTTAGTCAAAGTAGTTGATACTTGATAGTGTTATATTATAAAGAATCTTTCATCAAAGTAATTGATAGTTGATAGTGTTTTATATATATATAACCAAGGTGTCTAGGTTAACTTGCGCGCACCTTAACTAATCTTTTGGTTCATTGAACCTTTTATGAATTTGATGTTTACAGATGGACATAATCCCTGCTAAGTCGAGGACCCGACCCGAACAAGGCGAAATTTCCACGAATTGTTCGGGGTTTACTTCGCGCCCGGGCTGAAAATATGTCCCCGAATTCGGGGATGGGCTAGGTCTTGCCCCGTCCCGCCCCCGAATTGTCCCCGGCCCATACAGTATTATTAATTTATTATTATTATTATTTGTAGTAAGGTTTAATTTTAACTATTTAATTTTATATTAATTTCAATAGTTAAAAATCAATCATTGAAGCCATAAATTATATAAGAACAAATTATAATTGTGTGAGTGTTTTATGAAATCATATAAAAATGGGTAATAAATAATAATAGATTAATATAATAAATCATTATAAATATATGTAATACATAATAAATATGTTATATATATTATACATTATACATAATATGTTAATGCTATAAAACAAAAATTATACATTATACATTATACATTATATATAATATGCTATTATCCGTAATCATAATATCATATATTTATATGTTCATACTTATTACCTGAAACAATAATACATGATATTATATTATTAACATATAATATATTTATATATGTGTATAATGTATCATAATTATAATTTTGATATTTTGATTCATTATAATAAATCATTATAAATTTTTAAAAAAAAATTATAATGCAAAACCCCAACAATCCCTTAAAATCCCCATTCGGGCTTTGGGCCGAGGCCGGACAGGGGTTCTCTGCCATGCCCCGACTTGTGCCCATCCCTACCAATGTTTCAAGTAAACCATAAATGTGATAGATGATCCCAAAATTGAACTCAAAAAATCAATTAAGAGAACAAACATTCTTGAGGTCACTTGACAAACCTCTTGGATATTGATATATTGATATTTTATGATTATGGATATTGACACATTTAGAGTCCCAACCTGGAAGCCAAAATATTCTACATTCTAATATAATCAACCAATTTCCAAGGTTACTTTAAACCCTTAAATTTGAAGTTTTATCGATTAAGATATGATACAAAATGATATCTAAAGATGTTTGATCTAATACTATAAAATATTTTGTGATTTAAAACTATTTAGAAAATGAAACAAGATTCTTCCGTCTTTGAATTTCAAATTGAATCCCAAAAACATTTTGGAAGCATTTCATCCAAGTATTCACTAATAAAATGGTTTATTTAAATTGTAATTATAACCGACTTTAAGTTATCATCAACCCTACATTTATTTATAGTAACAATCAAGGTTTTCAAACCCAACTCAGGGGGTGACCGGGTCATGGTTTAACCAGTTTAACAGGCGGTTTAACTAGTGGTTTGACAAATTTAAAATATAGCAAACACACCCCTAATAAATACCATCAGACCCTATAGGTTTGAAATCTAGCAAACATAACCATTGGTCAAATCAAATCGGCGATCGAGTGGGAGAGTGGCAGCAACACAACAGGGAAGGTAGATCCGGTGATGGGGAGAATGAATTGGCAGTTGGCAAGTTGAGGCATCGTCAGAAAATGGCAAATTAGTGGTGGAAGTCAAACAGTCGCGGTGGCTTTTTTTGACGAGATGATTGTGGATCTTCGTGAACGACGACAAGGGAGCTTGAGAGAAGGTAGATCGGTGGCTGAGGAGGCCTATCGATGTCAGAGAAGACTAGGGATGGGCGTTTGCCCCGGCCCGACGTGACCCAACCCGAATTGGATGAGGAATCCTCTAAAATATTGGGGATAAGGCTGGGGACAATCCTAAAAAAAATCCCCACCTCCGGGGACGGGCCAAGGGAGGGGATTGTGCATTCCCTAACCTGCCCTGACCTGTCAACCCCGCCCCGATGGAGCCTCGCCTTCTTTTATCGAGAATTTTTTTTTCTTTGTGAGATTATATAAAAAGTTAGAGTTTAAATCATAGTTTTAAGTAATGTATCTAAATTTATGATATTTACTTTTATAATACTTTCTAATGTTTGTAATAAATTTATAGAAAAAATAATTTAAAGGGAATCTAATAATTAAATATATGTATTATTACTTTGTACATGGCCCAAAAATAAATTTGATTAGATTATTATAACTTACCAAACCAATATAAGAATATACACAATTGCTTAACGACTTACAAATTACACAAATTCAATTATCCTTGTAATTAATTAATGAGTCAATTAAATATGATGTAAAACTTAATCAATGTTGGGAACTTAGGATAATGGGATTTGTCACTTTCACAAATGGACTAATTTCATTAGTTGTAATAGAGATAGTGTTTTATGAATTAATTCATAAATTTACCTAATAAATTATGTTAAGGTTGAATTTAGTTATATTAATTTTGTAAAAAAATAATTAATTAATAGGACTAATTAAGCCTAAGTCTCTATACAATTGAATAATTAATCAATTTATCTGATAAATCATGTTAAGATTAGATATAGATATATTTATTTTATTAAAAATTAATTAATTAACATGGTTGATTAAGTCTAATCGGCTAAGCCTTTATACAATTAAATAAATATTCAACTTACCTAGTACATTATGTTAAGATTGAATTTAGTTATATTAATTTTATGAAAAATTAATTAATTAACAAGGCTAACTAAGCCTAAGTCTCCATACAATTAAATAATTAATCAATTGACCTAATAAAATATATTAAGATTAGATATAGATATATTTAATTATGTTCGGGGGAAAATCCTCCTCAGGGTGAATTTCCTCATGAAGCCCCGTTCATCGGGCTGGGCCGGGATGGGGATGTGAGTGATTTCATCCCCACGAGCTGGGGATGGTCATGAGAGTTGTCCCTGCCAGTAGGGACGGGACGGGACGGGCTGGGGATGGTCATGGTAGTGGATATCGGGGACGGGGTCCCCGGCCTTGACTCGGCCCATGCCCATCCCTAGAGAAGGCTTGATCGACGCAGGGAAATGGAAAAAAAAAAATTGCTGGACGACGAAACATCGAGCAACGGCGGGAGATGAAGCATCACGGCCCTAAAGAAAGTCAGAATGTGGTTTCTGACAGCAAGGGAAGGTGGAAGGTCGCCGGAAAAGGGGATGTCATCGTCGATTTGCATTTGACTAGAGGGTGTGTTTGTTAGATTTCAAACCTTTAGGGACTGATGTGTATTAATCAGGGGTATGTTTGCTAGATTTTAAACTTGAAACAGTTGAACGAGTAACCCAACCTAGAGAAGGCTCCGGGTCCCGATCCAACCGGTTAAACCGACCGGGCCGGTCCGGGTTTTAAAACCATGTGTGAAACCTTGAATCACAATAATATAAGCGCCATTGATTAGCCAATTGTCAACTAAGAATCCATTAACAAAACTATATATGGATGGTTGAGTGGTTCGATAAGAACTCTTGGATATATCACTCAAGAGATCTTGAATTTGAGTCCCTCTTTGATTGCTAATAGGAATATCCATTAGAGTTCTTACCCGACTAGTAATTCCAGAGTCTTGGGAAATTAATTAAGATGTACGTAAATTGATCAGATACTCCCGATGATAAAAAAAAAAAAAAAAAATCCATTAATAAAACAACGAAGGGTGCAAGATTTATTTGAAAATTTTGTTGCTTCAGCATATCTTATCTTGAGTAAATTGAAAATTAAAGTTGAAAAAGATAGATGATGTTAACATTGTATCTAAAGATTAAAGCACACCCATCATACTATTATTCATCCTCTTCTTATTCAAATTCACGTCACTTGTTAGTTGTTACACAAATAATAAATGCGATCCTGAAAGATATTTATGTTAATGCATTAAGTCTTCTTTCAGTAAATATTTTTGGACTCGACTCTATTATTATCTTATCATCTTTTATAACAGTTAATTTAGTTATTAAGCCAAGTCACGTTTTCCTGTAGCTCTGTGATATGTGTCATCAACCATCAATAATTATTATATTACTGATCCGTGAAATATCTTCTAGCTGTAGCTGGAGATTGGTCATCGCTTTAATAAAACTATATAATATAAAATAAACTATTAATTTAATGCCAACCTTGTATTATTTTATTTGATTATTTCTTACTTGGTTCGTCATTCGTGATGTCTTATCTTTTTGTGGACGTAAGGAAACTTCATAAACTTTGTAGGTCCTTATGTTTATATTATTTAAATTTGGTGCGCAGGATTCAATTTAAAATACCATCAATCTCGTAATTTGCTTAATAGGACCAAGGCATTGCATTGGAACATATTCTTATATAAAGACATGTCCTTTATTTGTAGCAATTTTTTTTTTTCATTTCTCATGTTACTTATTTAGAGATACATTCTTAATGTCCATTATAGTAATGATAAACTAGTCTTAAAAAAATAATAATATATCTAAATTTTTAATTCTAAATTATTTAAAATTATTGTTCAAGTCCTCCTATGGTAAAAGAATAAGAGGAGGATCTAACGTGGTTTCTAAGATTCAAGTCTCTTTAAAGATAAAAGAACAAAAGGTGGATCTAATATGGTATTCCGAGTTCGAGTCCTCACAATTATTAACAGGGGTCACTACTGGAGTTCGTATCTAACCAGTAATTCCAAAATTTCAGGGGATTAGTTAAGATGTGCGTAAGATGTGTGTGTAAGTTGACCCAAACACTCCCATTTATAAAAAAAAAATGACCTAATATCATTGTATTTATAAAATCAAAATAAATTTTGAAAATATAGTTAAAACTATGTTCCTTTGCGCCAAAATTAGAATAATCTAGCCAATTTCCTCCCTTAAATTGTGGAACTGTCTTTTTTCCCTGGTTAGCTAAATACTTATCAGTTATCACACATAACTTTTTTATGGTCACAAAACATTTCAAAATAAACAAATTCGTCCATTTCATTTCACTATATTCCAATCATTACATCCCAAAACTTCAATCACTCACCGCCCATCCCCTCTTTAACCTCTCATCGCCGTCAGATCGTCGTAAAACGCAACAAATCAAGTGTGGCCTCATCTGTCCACGTGGACCTCTACTTGTTACCTTCACCATCATGCTAAGCTCTTTAAGGAGGAACGACAAAATGCATAATTGCAGGGCTGACGTCACTCTTTTAGATAACGAGGTCCAGAATCGTCATTGGTCCACTTGGCATATCCACCGGCCCATCACACCAATAATTCCCCCAAATGTCCACTACGTGGCAGAACCATAACTGTTCCTTTGACAATGACGTGGAAACCGTCTATCCCATTGTTCACTGACACGTAGGAAACCTTAAAGAGTAATCATAAAGTAGAATCATTAACGTGGTATCTTCCATCACGATTCTAAGTTCTAACAGTTAAATTGAAAATAAAGGAATATTCATATGTATTTTTTATTTTATATGCACCAACCCAATATTTTTACGTATCATTTCTGCACTTACTCTTCACTTAAGCATGCTGTATTAACTTTACTTGAAAGTTAGTACATAAAACATTTAGCATATCTCCTTTAAGTAAAGATTTTTCTGCATATAACTTTTTTATAAAACTTGTAAAACCTAATGTTCATATTTTTCTTTTACTAATTTAAATTTATAGCGGTAAATAAAATAAAAATTAATTTTCTTATTTTGAGAATTGAAATTCAATTAAATTTATTTAAGTAAAATTTAGCAGAAGTGGTTAAATTGAGAAGTTTCCACATTTGTCATCATATGTGTTAAAAAAGATTAGGAGATTTGAATAAATGATTATTCTCTCAATTTCGAGGAAGGTTCAAGCTCAGCGCAGCGGCCAAACACGCTGCATTAATATACACGTGCTCAACACCTGACATCTGAAAATTCATAGCCGCCAAAGCGAAAGCAGTAATACTCTACGTGACGTCCCACACAAATTCATAGCAGCCAAACCACAATAATCTTTCCACGTTTCACCCTTTAATTAACCGAACATCACAGTATCACACTCCCGCGCATTTTAGCACGAAGCCGTCACAAAGAGACTGTTCAAGAGTCAAGACCACAAACATAGACTCTCCACCGGAAATACCCGGTCATACTCAAATATAACCAAACCTTCTTGTATCTCTCCGACCCTACAACTGGCTATTCCCGGTAACCCTTGAGAAAATTAATCGCAGTTTCTTATCTACTTCTTTATATAAATAAGTAGTCCAGGAAGGCTCGATTCCTCATAAGTCATAACCTCTCGATTGCCCTCCAAGTTTTAAACCGTCAGTTTGCTGTTTTTGCACCTCAACAACTTCACTTATATGATAGCTTCCGGTGACCGGAAACCTGAGAGCCCAAGCCCGTCACCAGCTCTCGGTTTCCCTCGATTCCGTTTCTTCCGTTACCGGCGCTTGAGGTAAGAAGTCACACCAGAATCAAGAAACGTAAAAGAAAATTTATCGCATTTTGCTTTATTTAAATCTATTTAGGGATTCTATGCCCACGTCTAAGAGTAACCGGAGGGGACAAGAGCAGAGCCGGAAAGGAAAATTGTTATCGGAAAAATCGATGTCGTTTCACGGGAGACCTCCGGCCATGATGATGGCGGAGAAACAGTTGAGAAGGCCAAAGACGTTGCCGGATTTGCATCCGGATCGGAGTCCCGTCAGTTTTTCACCGGAGAATAAACCGAAGTTGACGAAGCTGTTGTTAAACGTTACGGTTCAGGGAAGCGTAGGTGCCGTACACGTAATAATGTCTTCGGAAAACACCGTCGCCGACTTGGTCGCCGCCGCCATGAGGCAGTACGTCAAAGAATGTCGGCGACCGATCTCGCCGACCGCCGACCCGTCCTGCTTCGACCTCCACTATTCACAGTTTAGCCTAGAAAGTAAGAATTCTGAAATTACTTCTTTGCACCTAAATCTTCAGCCTTAGATTGGTCCAGTTTAAACACAGTAACACGCGTAGCGCAGTGATTGATTGACCTTTTTCTTTTAAAATCTCAGGTTTGGATAGAAACGAGAAGTTGACGGAACTTGGATCGAGAAACTTCTTTCTGTGTAGAAGAAAAGCAGAAGTGCAGAGTGAAGCAACGACGTCGTCTTCGACGTGTTCAAAGGAGGCAGAAAAGGTTAGCAAGGCAGGGATTCCTTGGCTGAAGTTTATGGGTTTCTAGTTGGGTTCTGGTGTAAAAAGTAAAAAACGGTTAGATTACAGTTGAAATATTATAGGTCATGTGACAGGTTCAGCATATGCGAAATTTGCGGATGCTTTTAGGTTTTATTAAGAAGATTAATGAAGGAGATTGTAATATTTCTTCATCTCCATTTGATTTCTCCTTTTGTTTTGATTCTTCAACGGATTGGATATCCAATATTATGTACAGCTTTTTGTGTACCAAATCTTTATTGTCTAATTTAGTTGGTGTTTACGAAATTCATATTATTTACCATCTTGATGAAATCAATCAGAAAAAAACTGCTTTTCAAATAATTGTTTTTTAGTTTTAATGACGAAAAATAAGAGCCATTGTCATGCTAAATTGTGGGTTTACAGTTTACCATCGTGACTGTCGTTTTCTTTAAAAAAAAAAAATATATTTTTTATATATTACTAATTAATTGTAAAAATTTTCAGATGTTCTCATAGTTAAGAAAGATATGCCTAATTTTATTTTCAATATTTCTCGTTTTATTATTCCACTTTCTTTCAAGATGTTTGAAGAATTCTCAAATCAAATCATAACAATTCAATTATTTTTGATGGGATAAAAATTGTTAATAAATTATAACCTTTTTCTTTAAAATACTGTCTATGGAGAAATAATTTTACATATTAAAATGTGAAATTTAAATATAATAATTGGTTGAAATTAATTGATAAAGGGATAAATCAATAACTTGACGCTTCTTCCGCTTGTTGTGTCTAATATGTGAGGCTGCATACAGGAAACCAATGGCATTCAATTTGAATGGAATGGGGTCCTTACTTCAAAAGTTATGGACCACATCATATAATTCTAAATTTCCCCTAATATCCACTTGTCACCTAAAATATCCACCCGCCTAACTTGTCCTAAATATTTTGAAGGAATCTTTCTTTGGAATGCACACACATCCTACTGAATATATTGATGAACGTTGGTATAACTTTTTCACGTCAAATTCTAAGGTTGCGTAGGGAATGTTACATTATCACCATCCTTTGGAGGGATTTGAGAGTTGGCTATCTGTTTCATACTTAATCACTTACCCAATATTTTTACTTAGAAAAAACCCTCCAATAATTATAACTCCTCCTTAATCATATTCTTTGTCTAAACACATGGAAATAAGAGGAACATTTTGTTTGGTTAAACGTCTTTAATACAAAGGAAATAGGTTAGTACTCTATTTTCAAAGGTAGGTGATGACATGACCGACCTCCAAAAATAGGAACAATTTTCAAACCTCAATTAACTAACTTAAAATTTTCCTATCATGGTCTTTATTAATATTAAAATTGCATTCATTAATAGACATTGATTAAAATTTATAAATATTATATATATAACCTGATAAATGGTTGGAAACAGATAACTGATGGGCCAGGGTCTTGAGGCTCAAATATTTGGGACCATAATATACGAGTACTGTGGTCCAACTGAAATTTAAGGGCTGTTTTGCCTTCCTTATGATAATATGCTTAATTTGTTGGGCGGGCTGCTATTATTTCAGTTACTAAATAATCCCACTTTTTAGAATATTTTATTAAAGAAATAAAATATATTTAATTGATAAATATATAACGAAGTAAAATATGAGGTCAAATTAAAATCAAAATTTTCATTTTTATTGGAAATATATTTTATTCTTTTTTAAAAAATGATTTTGGAAATAGACGTGGTAGATAAAAACTATAGGAACTGAAAAATAGGTTCGAGCTGAACACTCCAAAGCCCAATAGTGATATTTATGGGTCATTATTTGGTAATCTGAAGCCCAAAAAAGCCCAATCTGAAAAGCTCAAAGCCCATACAAAAGTCTCGCTTACTCTCACAAAACCCTAGAGTACCAAAAAAAAAAAAAATTAAAATTTTTTTTTTTTTTAAAAAATGAAAAGCTCAAAGCCCATACAAAAGTCTCGCTTACTCTCACAAAACCCTAGAGTACAAAAAAAAAAAAAAAAATTAAAAGAAAAAAATAGAAAAAACCCAAAACCCTAAATACAGCTAAACTAGGCGGCAATTCTCTTATAAATTCCCTCCAAACCCCATTCCTTTACGCCTCTTTCGTTAACTCTCTCTAAAACCCTTTCTCTCTCCAACGCTCACGCTTAATCACTTATTCTTCTTCCATGGAGTTCTGGGGTAAGTTCTTCCTTTCTTTCCACGCTTACTCTACGCATACTTTTGTTTACGATTTTCCAACTCATTACGGTTTTTTCTCGCTGATTAGCTTGAAATCCGAGATAATATCGGAAAAAATACTTCTTTCTTGTGATAGTCTGTTGCAGGTTATGTTTTTATTTATTTATGCATAGTATATGTTTCAGTTTACTATTATTTATGTGTTTTTAGTATATAGAGATATGCTCGCTTATTTAAGGGAAGAGATAAAAAAAATGGACGTTTTTTTAACTAGAGTTGAAGTGTATTCTTAGGTGGAATGACAGCGAGTCTAGTTTCTCCAGTTATTTAATCTGCGAATGAGATTTTTTCTGAGAGAGTGATATGGAGTGCCTATTCTGGAAAGAAAGTCTTGCTGTTACAGAATGGGCTAAAAAGTTGGGTTAGTTTTATATTAGAAAATGAAGATTATTAAAAAGCAACTCTTTTTTTGTTTACCATGGTATTATTCCCTTTATATACTTTTGTTTTTATTTTCCTCTGTTTAACTAGCTTGTTGTATGAACCGATGTTTGACCAGTGGTTAGCACTTTGAACATTAGTGCTTAATTGCCAGTACATTACTTGCTGTGTACATACTCTGCTATGAAATGCTTTATGTGGGTTGTTGGTTCACTTCAGGCTACTATTTTGTAGTCTTCGCTTCTTTCAATAGGGTATTATCCTTCTTGATATTACTCAGTTATGCTAATTTCGGATTATTCTTGTCCTCCTATAGGTGTTGAAGTTAAGGCCGGACAGCCACTTAAAGTAAAACCAACTTTTGACAATATCATCCACCTCTCACAGGTGATTGAATTGTTAATGTTTAGTACTTTCAGTTTTAATCAGTGGAGTTTGTTTCTAACAAATTGTATGGATGTTGCTTCTTTTCCAGGGTTCCCTTGGTGAGTCTAAGAAGGATAAAGGACATGAATCTGTGCCCCTCTTTGTAAAATTTGGAGACCAGAAGCTTGTCCTTGGAACTCTTATTTCTGATACTATACCACAACTATCTTTTGATCTAGTATTTGAGAAAGAGTTTGAGCTTTCTCACAACTGGAAGAATGGGAGTGTCTACTTTTGTGGTTACCAAACTCCCTTGCCACAAGATAGTTCTGGTGAGTCTTAATGTGGTTCATTGGCTTGCAAGTTTCATCTTAACTGTTTAACTTAACTGAAAATTTTTATTTGTACAGATGAGTTTGATATGGATGGATCAGATGAGGATGAGGAAGAGGATATTCCAATGATTGCTGCTGAGAATGGTAGATCCTGTTCCTGCACTTTCATGCAGAGAGTTATAATATACTTTCAATGCTATTAATTATCTATCATGCAAAAAATTAATTTGTTTTTTTCATTTTTCTTGCTAGTTCTGTTAAGGAAAAGGTGGACTAAAAGTTGAGAAAGCAAAAGCTCCTGTAAAGGCCAATGCTGGAAAGCCTGAGATTTCTGTAAAGCCAAGCAAGGCAACAATCAAACCTGAGGAGAATGATGACAGTGATTCAGATGATTCAATGGATGATGGGGTGGAAGTTGATTCTGATGAGGTACCTCTATTATTACCTGGTAGTACTTTGAGTAGTTTTGAATGGCATTGATGTGGTTGTGACGGCATGAGGTCTCTCATTTTTTGGCCTTCTATATCATACATATTGCATAAGTTGTGGAGGCTAAGGAGTGGGCAATTTAGACAGGCCAGGGAAATAATTGGAAATAAATGAATTTTCCCAAGTGATACCAATTCTAGCATTTTAACAAGTGTTTCAGATGTAGGTGATTATTTTATTAGTATATTATTTCAGCTGATTGTGCTGCAACTATCTTTTTTGTATCCCCTCTTCTATTTTGAGAAACCACTTTACCTTTGCGTTTTTTTATTGCTAAGTTATTTTTTGAATATCTTTTTGCCTAAATAAATTTGCTGGCTTTTTCGGTTGTCGATCAGATATCTGATGACGAAGAAGGTTCTGATGAAGATGAGGACGATTCAGAAGATGAAGACTCTGATGAAGATGAAGAGACACCTAAGAAGGTATGTGTATGAAATCTGTATTTTACACAAGTTTTATGTTACTTTGGTCTCTAAATGTTGATTCTTTGAACCGTTATAACATATTTTTGTTCATTTTAAAGGCTGTAGCTGGGAAGAAGAGACCAACGGAATCAGCTACAAAAACTCCTGTTCCTGCTAAGAAGGCAAAGGCTCCAGCTACTCCTCAGACTGGTAATGTTCTTGTGGCATGATCATTTACAGTGTTATTCTATTAGTTAGTATTATTTAATTGTTTATGGATGAGTAATGGGCTGCGTATTCTGCCATTTATTGTTATTCATGCAATAGAAAGAACTGCAAGTTTTCCGTTTTGCTTAACCTTGACACTGCATAATATTTTATATCAGATTTATTATTCTGTTAAGTATTGAACTTAGTGATGTCTTTAGTTGCTCTATTTTATTCTGAATAAATTTGAAGAGATGGTTAATGTTTGATTTTTGTAATTCTATTTATATGAAAGGTATACCTATTTTTACCACCTTTCACTAAATTTATGTGCTAGTTTACTGCTCAGAAATTTTCTGAACAATTGTATTTCTATACAGTTAATATGCTGTCTTTCCCATTGGATGTTGAGTATTGATTGCCCTAATTGCCTTGTATGTTTTGATAATTACTATTTGGTAGAACACCTTATCCTTGAGTTATTATATTAATCAATCCAATGGCACCAGCTTCTTTAATGAAAATTATATGGAGTTTTTTTTTGGTTCTCATTTATGATTTGCAATTATTTTACCTGGCACTATGATTGTTGACTGGTTTCAGAACACGCATGAACTAAGTTTTTTCGTTTTCTGGATTTTGCTTTTGTGGTTAGATGGAAAGAAGGGAGTCCATGTTGCAACTCCTCACCCATCAAAGCAGGCTGGCAAAACACCTAATGACAAAACTCCCAAATCTGGTGGTGGCCAATTTTCTTGCAAATCGTGTAGCAAGTATGTTCATGCCCTGCACAATCACTGTAAATTTGAATCATAAATGTTAGTATTGGCTTGTGACTGACGTGGTC